TTACAGAGCCCTTAACCGTGCTATGGTTCCGGATAAATTCCCCATTCCGGTTATCAAAGAACTTCTTGATGAGCTTCATGGTGCTTCTATTTTCAGCAAAATTGATCTTAAATCGGGCTACCATCAGATTCGGGTCCACAGTGAGGATATTCCCAAGACTGCATTTTGCACCCACGAGGGCCATTACGAATTCCTTGTCATGCCCTTCGGTCTCACCAATGCGCCCTCAACTTTCCAGTCATTAATGAATACCGTCTTCCATGATTTCCTCCATCGCTTTATGCTGGTATTTTTTTTATGATATTCTGGTTTATAGTGCTTCCGAAGCTGCCCATTTGGATTATCTTCGACAGGTCTTCTCTGTGTTGCACGCCCATAGTCTCTTTGCCAACTCAAAGAAATGTATCTTTGCTCAGCCTAGCATTGAATACCTGGGTCATATTATTAATGCGGCTGGTGTTTCTGCCGATCCTTCTAAAATCCAGGCCATGGTTGATTGGCCTCAACCATCTTCACTTAAAGCTCTTCGCGGTTTTTTGGGACTTATAGGCTATTATCGTCGTTTTGTGTGTAACTACAATAAAATAGCATGGCCATTGACGCAACAACTTAAAAAGGATGCCTTCTCATGGAATGCGGAAGCTGAGAATGCATTTCAGGAGTTGAAACGGGCTATGACGACCGTACCTGTGTTGGCCCTTCCGGATTTTTCCCAGCCCTTCTTGATCGAAACAGATGCATCCGGTGTAGGTCTCGATGCGGTATTAATGCAAAATAATCGACCTATAGCTTTTTACAGCCACAAGCTTAGCTCGTTTGCATAATCAAAATCTGTCTACGAGCAAGAATTAATGGCTATTGTCTTTGCCATTAAAAAATGGCGCCCCTATCTTCTTGGAAGACGCTTTATTGTTCGTACCGACCAGCGTAGTCTTAAGTATCTGTTGGAGCAGCGGGTTGTTGAAGGTGAGCATCATAAGTGGCTCCTTAAGCTTATGAATTATGATTTTGAGATTTAGTACAAACCAGGTACCGATAATACCGTGGTTGATGCTCTCTCCAGAGTTCTTGCAAAAATGCATTTAAGTTCTCTTACAGTCCCTATTTTTCTTGATTTTGATGACCTTAAGGAGCAAGTTGATGCTGATCCTTTTCTGGCCAACATTAAGCATGCCATACAGCATGATCCGGCTGCCTATCCCACCTACTCTTTAGTTGGAGATCACCTTCGTTATCATGGTAAATTGGTTCTACCGGCTGCTTCCCCATTTATTCCCCTCTTACTTAAAGAGTTTCATTCTGGAGTTGTGGGAGGTCACGCTGGTATCCGCCGGACATATCGGCGAATAGCAGCTGAATTTTACTGGCGGGGGATAAAGCGTTCTGTCCAGGAGTTTGTGCAGGCCTGTGATGTGTGTCAACGCAGTAAATATGAAGCCATGTCCCCTGCTGGCCTTTTACAACCTTTACCCGTTCCTGAACAGATATGGGAGGATATTGCTATGGACTTTATTGAGGCTCTTCCTAAGTCGAAGGGATTTGATACAGTTATGGTGGTGGTCGATCGTCTCTCCAAGTATGCCCATTTTATCCCTCTCAGTCATCCTTTCTCAGCTCTCACGGTTGCTCAGGCCTTCTTGCACAACATAGTCCGTTTACATGGCATTCCCCGATCAATTGTGTCTGATCGTGATAAAGTCTTTATGAGTTTCTTTTGGCGCGAGCTTTTTACCCTGCAAGGTTCAGAATTGTGTCGTAGTTCAGCTTACCATCCTCAGACGGATGGACAGTCAGAGGTGGTTAATCGCTGTTTAGAGACTTATTTGCGATGCTTTGCGGCTGATTCCCCCTCCCGTTGGTCTTCTTGGATATCGTGGGCAGAATACAACTATAATACCTCTTTTCACACTGCTGCTGGCATAACACCTTTCAAGGTGGTTTATGGGCGCGATCCTCCTCCATTAATCCGCTATGAGCTTGGCTCTACGGCTAATGCTAATTTTGAAGCTGTTCTCCTTTAGCGAGACGCTATACTTAGGGAGTTGCGTGCTCATCTACACCATGCACAACAAAAGATGAAAGACTCGACTGATGTGACCCGACGTGATGTGAATTTTGATGTTGGGGATTTGGTGTATGTGCGAGTGCGACCTTATCGCCAGCAGTCTCTAGCTCGCCGAGTCAATGAAAAGCTTGCCCCTCGTTTTTATGGACCATTTGTTATTATGGAAAGAATTGGCGCTGTCGCTTATAAACTTCAACTTCCTCCAGAAGCAAGGATTCACCCAGTTTTTCATGTCTCGCAACTCAAGAAGGCGATTGGCAATCATATCTCTTCTCCCGTGATTCCTTCCACTTTGTCGGCGGATATGGAAATGCTTGTGGAACCTGCGGCCGTTCGAGGGTGCGTCCGTCCACTATGCGTGGAGTTACTGGTTCGGAAGTGCTTATCCATTGGCAGGACCTGCCTGATTTTGAAGATTCGTGGGAGCCTTTTGACTTACATCGAGACCAATTTCCTCATTTTAACCTTGAGGACAAGGTTAGACTTTGGGCGGGGGTAATGATAGGCCTCCAATTAACTTTACGTATGCCAGGAAGGGGAAAAGTCAGCTTTCGGCTAAGGGGGGAAATAATTGAACATGGGAGCAATTATAGCTGGAGGGAATAAGGAGAGTCTTGAGGCATTTATAGCTATGTCAGTTAGGAATAAGAAGAGTGTGGGCATTTATAACTTGGCCAGCTGGGCATTTATTGAGGGAATCAGTTATGCTGTAAGAAGAGTATAAGAAGGGGCTTTGGGGGATGAGGGAGGTAGGCTTTTGTTGAGTGAAGAATACTGTGAGTGATTGGGAGAGCCGACAATCTCTCGAAGAACCGACCAACTGTTAATGTTCTTCTTTTCTTCTGAATGAATACCAATTCCTTTGTTGATGTTCTAGTTGTGTGAATTCTGCTGTGAGTCTGAGAATTGTGTGAAGTTTCTGGGACATAACATTCTATTCCTTTTCATTTGGTGCATTTCGATGTTTGGGGACCTTACTCTATTCTCTGGCAGTAATAAATTAATTCTTGATTTTGTGTGCTGATGACAATACCTGGTATTACTTGATCGTATCTTCTTAAGAGTAGAAAGCAGATGCATTAAATTATCATGAACTTCTATAGCATAATGGAGACCCGGTATGAGAAGAGAATACGGATGTTCATATCAGATAACACAAAAGAATATTTGAGAAGAAGTTGTCAATTTTTTGGAAGACAAAGGAGACTAACATTATGTTAGAATGTGGGTGTTTTTATTTAATTTTATTACTACTGTTATATGGTCTAGGCCCTTAATGGGCTTTGTTATTTTTTAACTTTACTATACTTCCTATTGGTCTGTCCACTATGGGTAGATTTGTCCTTTTATCATCTTTTGAGAAGCTCCTCTTATTATGAATAAGAAGGGATTGCACAACCGATTCATTTTGCTCCCCAAAATACGATTTCTTTTTTCTTCTCATACTTTTCAGTACTGACTAGTTGATTCACTCTTGAACCATTTAGTTTTAGATTGATTACAGAATTCAGATCAGATAGTCTCTTCTCTTCTCTTTGAGTAACACCCATGCATCACTAGGATCAGCAGTGTGCAAGAAGAGTTGAAGATATCGATCATCATAGATCATATTGCCTATTCTTTAGAAGATTCTTGGAGAAGAAATTGAATCAGTTTTCTTAGAAGTGGTCTAGAGAATTCTTCCCAAAAATCAAGAAAAATCAGAGAATTTCTTGTTTCTGTATGTTGGAAGTCATGGACACTGATCGAATTAGTGTTCAGGTATTAAATTGAACAATTACTCGTTTATCTCTATTGAGATCGATACACTTTGTAGGGTGTTCTGGAGTGTCTGGTAGGATAGGCCACTATTTCTGTCTGGGTGTTTTGGTGCCAGGGTTGGTAGAGCTTTGAGATATTATTCTTGATTGTAGGTCAAGAATATCCTGTCTTTATCAAAAGCTTCTGGGGTTTGTTTGATATTGTTTATTCATTATGGAGCCTGTTGGAAGTGATTTGAAGTTGGTCATTGAATCCAGTATCATACTACTGGTGATTCATAGGGAAGTGTTTTTACTACATTCAATAAGATGGCATGAATATTTTGGAGTGGGCACATTCTATATGCATTGGTATTGGTTATTGATGCTTTGGATTCTAACCACCCACCATGGATTTTGAAAAATTACATGGTGATGTTGCGGCTGATCAATTGAATGCTGCTGTAGATCAGTTGGAATTATTTATGGATGAAGACAGCAAACGAAGCGTGTGATTTGAGTTTTTGAGACTTACTCTTGGTTAATGGATGCTAGAGTATATCAACTTAGGATGTAGATGAACACACTAAAGTAGAGGGAGATGCTTCCTGGACTTTATTTCTTTCCTTTACAGTCATTCAAGCAAGAGATTGATCATCCAAATACATTTCAGTGGGAAGTATGTTATGATTGATCATCTATCAGCCAGCATATTCTGATAAATTGTGATATTGTATCGACTCAAGCTTGCTCAATGGTGCACTAGTGAAGAGAGCAGTAGGAAGCTGATGGTGGTGCAGTCTATAGATTTCTCTCTATATGCTGCTACAGCTAAGAAGAAACGTGTGTCTATTACATCTATGGATGTTGTAGGAGAGGACAAGTTGTATTTGATTATTTCAACTTAAATGTACACAAGATTCTTACTGGAAGTTGAATCCGCATACGAAAACTGCTCAATTCAGAAACAGGAAAGGGAATGCTAATCTTGTCACAATGAGGGGGAGTGTCAGAATGTGAACTGTTTTTATTTATTTTTATTACTGCTAATCATGTCATAATCGGCTTTGTTATTTTTTATATGATATATGCCAGAATGTGAACTGAAGGTGTCATTGCTTTCAAATTTTTATATGATATATGTACTAATTGCATTCATCATTTTTAACAAATAAAGGAACTCTTGCTAAACAAACCTCTGGTTTCTTGAACACTAGATCTCTTGTTGTGAATGGGACCATGTAGAATGGAAGATCCGACCTTAACGTTGCCTGCGATAAATCATACAAGACCAAACTAAACTTATAACAGTTATCAAAATTCAAAAACTTTAAGGACGGAATTGTCATGCATGAAAACTTGAACTAAAAATAAACAGATGATGACAAGATGGATGTGCCTCCGAATTTGTGAAAAAAGCCAGAGCTGCAAGACTGAACCATAGGAAACATAAAAAGAATTTTTATAGGTATGAAACATAAGATGACAATAACTATCTTCTCTAGAAGGAAACAAAACTGCTTGATGTTTATTTAGCAGTAGCCTAATGCTCTTCCCATTCTTTTGCAGTAACATGAATCTATAGAATTGCTTCAACTTACACAATTTTCAGAATAGATAGATAGATAGATAGATAGATATGAGGGTGGGCCTTGCGTTGCTCCATTGCAACCTGAGTGACCAGGGTTCAAATAATGGAAACAGCCTCTCTATATGTGCAGGGGTAAGGCTGAGTACATCTGTCCCACATGATGATCACATTACAATTTCTTAATCTTTTTCCCATTTGATTTATACAGTTCTTTGCTATGGTTTTTCGAGGCTTAAATATGCAATCATATTTCTTCTGATGATCTCTTGAAGGTGTATTAACTAATTCCTTGTTTCTAGAAAACTTTCTTGATATTTTATATTTTTCAAATATCTTAGAAAAATTAGCAAAATATCTCCGAAATTTCGCCAATATTGATATCAAAATAACAAACCATGGTTACATGTACTTTTGAGAGATCTTCTCAATAAACAGAATGAAAAAAAAAAAACATTTGGTAAATTGTCTTAAAGTATTATGTTCATAGACACATGTAAATGGCACATGGGCCAACAAAAATATTTAATAATATTTATTAAATATTATAATTAATTATTAATCAGAATTATAAATTTTATATTAACAACTATATTGTTCATATTAATATAAAATTATTATTAATTTAATATTATAATATTGGTTATTTACTATAATTATAAAATTAATATAGTTGAAAGTTACACCTACAGTAATTCAGATAATGCAAGAAAAGAAGAAAAGAGAGGAAGAAAAAGAAGAAGAAAGAAGTTTCAGCAATAGGTTGTGGAAGAAGAAAAGAAGGGAGAAGAGAAAAGAAGAATTTGAACTTCCCTCTCTAGCCCCCTTTCATCACTTTCATTAATACTTCTAAGTCTAAGTACAATTACTTGGATGCCCTTAATGGGGCGGCCAACACTAAAGAAATAATTAAATAAAACAAAAGAAGGCCCATAACTAAGAAACATAACTTTTAAACACTACTTAAAAGAAGTAAAGAACACTAAGGCCCATTCTCACTACACTCCCCCTCAAGCTGAGCATAGATGTCAATCATGCCCAACTTGCTTACATAATGTTGAAGCTTTGCCTTTGGGACTCCCTTAGTTAGAAAATCTGCTAGCTGCTCTTCTGATGCAATGAAAGGTAGGCACACCTCTCCTGAAGCCACTCTCTCCCGTATAAAGTGTCTGTCTACCTCAATGTACTTAGTTTTATCATGCTGAATTGGGTTGTGAGCAATGTTAATAGCAGCTTGGTTATCACAATACAACAGCAGTGGCTCATCACATGAAACCCCCATCTCATTAAGGAGAGATCTAAGCCATAACAACTCAGAAACACCATGGGCCACTCTACCTCAGTTGAAGATCTAGCAACCACAGACTGGTTTTTGCTTCTCCAAGAAACAATATTTTTGGCTACCATAGCACAATATCCTGATGTGGATCTCCTATCATCCACATTTCTTGCCCAATCAACATATGTACATGCTTCTACCTTCATGTGTCCATGTTTAGCAAATAATATACCCTTCCCAGGGGTTCCCTTAAAGTAGCGTAACACCCTTTTTGCAGCAGCTATATGCGTCTCTGGGAGCATGCATGAACTGGTTGATGACACTCACAGTATATGAAATGTCTGGATGAGCCATACATAGATAAAGAAGTTTCCCTAGTAATCTCTGAAACACTCCCCTATCAACTAAAAGTTCTCCATCATTAGGTGAGAGTTTCCCTAGTAGAGGCAGGTTTAACACCAAGTTTTCCAGTCTTAGTAAGAAGGTCTAGCACATAGTTCTGTTGAGAAATAAATATACCTTCCTTGGACCTAGCAACCTCAATGCCCAGAAAATACCGCAACTCCCCTAAATCTTTAATTTCAAATTTAGAGTTGAGAAACTTCTTGAGAGCACTAACTTCTTTTATATCACTGCCAATAACCACAATATCATCTACATAATAAGGAATGCCACTAGAGTGCCTTTTCTCTTAACAAAGATGGTATGATCTGATTGAGTCTGAGTATAGCCGAACTAAACAAGAGCATCCCTAAATCTGTCAAACCAACCACGTGAAAATTGTTTCAGGCCATAAAGTGATTTCTTCAATCTACACACCTTACCCTACATTTCCTTGCCATATACACTAGGAGGAAGGGACATATATACCTCTTCAGTGAGATCACCATTCGGGAATGCATTCTTAACATCAAATTGATACAGAGGCCAATCATAGCTCACTGCTAAGGATTAAAGAACTCTCATCGAAGTCATCTTAGCAACTGGATAAAAGGTCTACGTGTAATATATCCCATATACCTGGGTATATCCCTTGGCAAAAACCGAGCCTTATACCTCTCAATTGACCCATCTACATGATACTTGATAGTGAAAACCCACTTGCACCCAACAGGTTCCTTCCTAGCTGGCAAGTCAACAATATCCCAAGTATTGTTTTTATGAAGGGCTTCTATTTCAGTACTCAAAGCATCCCCCAATCTGGTGTGGCTACGGCTTTTGAAATAGACTTTGGGATGGATTGAGAGGAAATGGAGGCTAGAAAGGCATACTAGGATAGGGACAACAAGTTGTAGGAAAGGTGTTTGGAAATACAAAGAGTTGTACACTTCCTCTTACCTTTTCTCAAAGCAATGGGTAGGTCAAGGTCTGGAAACGAAGGTGCTGGTGGAAGAGGTGATGGACATGTCCTCTCTTCAATAATCGGGAGCGCCTGAGACTTAACTGGAGGTGTGGGATCAACCTGTGTTTGTCTTAGCCTTTGCTGTTGGTACCAACTTTGGAAAATAGGATGAGTGGAAACAACTAGAGGACTGGCAGGAGGAGGGGGAGGAGTAGGAGTGGAAGACCTCGAAGGAGAGGATCCCTCAATGGGAAATGGGGGTAACTGTAGAGAGCTTGGCACAAGACTCAACTAAAGTTGGCAAAGGAAGGGATGAAGAAAACAACTCGAGAGATCTCTCCCCCTAAGAAGGATGGCTATAAAAAGGAACCGACTCTGCAAAGGTGACACATCCATGGAAACGAACCGGGTGCTACTAATGGGATCGAAATAACAATACCCTTTCTATGTGGAGACATAACCAAGGAAGATACACTTCTAAGCCTTGGGGTCAAACTTGTGCTTTTTGGAACTAGGAATGTGGACATAACAAGTGCAACCAAAGACCCTCGAAGGAATGGAGAAAATCTCAACATCAAGAAAGATGACTCCGAAAGGAGATTTTAACCCCAAGACTTGAGAAGGCATGCGGTTTATAAGGTAGGTAGTTGTTAAAGCTACATCACCCCAAAACTTCACAAGAACATGGATAGCAAAAAGAATTCTCCTTGCAACTTCCACAATGTGTTTGTTTTTCCTTTCCGCTACTCCATTTTGTTGTGGAGTGTGGGCACAAGAACTCTGATGAATAACCCCAGACTTCTCAAGATAGGAGGTAAGGTCATTATCAAAATATTCCTTAGCATTGTCTGACTGGAATATTTTGATGCAGTTATTAAACTGAGTATGTATTCATGGAACTATTGCACAAGTTTAGGCACTTCAGCCAGGGAGCGCATAAGGTAAATCCAAGTATATCGTCAAAAATCATTAATAAATAGGATGAAATATTTATGCCTACCCATACATGGTAAATGGTAAGGCCTCCACACATTAGAGTGAACAATATTAAAAGGAACAATTGATCTTTTATTACTTAAAGGAAGTGCTCTTACAATGCTTTGAGAACTCACAAGACTCACAATAAAGACTCGATAGACTAATTCCTTTAAATAACTTTGGAAACAACTGACTCAATGAAGAAAATGACAATTGACCCAAATGACTATGACATAACATAATACGACTAGTGGACTCTAAAACAAATGCAGTTCTCTTAGGCTGTACTTGGCTCTACTTAGGCATGTCTAACAAATAAATCCCATTTGCCTCATTGTGGCTCTCAATCACCTTCTGAGATTCCATGTCATGAAAAACACAATATGAGGGAAAAAAGGTCACACTGAAATTCAAGGATTTAGTCAAATTACTAACTGAAAGCAAATTGGTATTAAGTTTAGGTACATGAAGAATAGACAATAAGGTCAGGGCATTGGAGGTCTTAATGTATTCCTTTCCTGTGATAGGGGCTAGGGAACCATCAATAAGGGATATCTTATCCTAGCCAGAAAGAAGTTGGTAAGAGGTGAATGTAAAGCACTAGTCATATGGTCAGAAGCACCAGAATCAATTATCCAAGGGGTTTTATGTGTACCTAAGACAGAAGCATAATATACAGTGGTACAAATACCTAAGTGAGCATATGCAGAGGAAGGAATAGTCTCTGAAGGAGTTGTAGCAGTGGACTCCAAGTGACTGATGATTCGGCCATACTTCTTATATTCAGCTCTGGTGGCTGCAAGTTGTTCTCCCACTGACTTCTCTCCACCTTGTCCTTGTTCACCTTATGAAGAGGTGGCTATATTTGCATTTTCACCTTTTCCAATTTCAACCCTTTTTCCACCAATTTCTTTCTTGAATCTAGTAGGAACGAGCTCTGGGTGCAACTTCCAACATGTGTCTTCAGAGTGTTTAGGCTTCTTGTAGTATTCACAAATAACATATTTCTTCTTATTGCTAACCTTCGACTTCATCCCAGCATTAGCATAGTGATCAACCTGCGGATCAACAGACTAAACCTGTT